GGATACCTCCCACAAATTCGGATGCCGAGTCGAAGGGACAATTCAATATCCACACTCCTGAAGAGCTACAATGGCTTCCGCATCCCAGTCTTCCAGGATATTTCGCCTCGATCGATGCATCTCTTCTCGATGCAAATGTCGCTCATGAATTTCTGACAAACTCGTACTGGGCAGCTGGGATCTCGTTGGATAAAGTACAACTAGCAATGTCAAACTCGGACTGCATCGGGATATATCACCTGCATGATGAGCAAAATGGTAAGCATATCGGCGAACTTCGCTTCCTGGCATGAGGACTAAAGTTTATCATTCCTTTTTATGGATATAGGCAAGCCAAAGCAGATTGGATACGCCAGATGGATAACGGACAGAACTACCTTTGCATATCTTGCCGATGTCTTTATTCACAAAGACCATGCTGGTCAAGGACTAGGTCGGTGGCTCTCACAGGTCGTCCTCTCAATGGAAGCAGCTCGGCCATACAAGCCAACGGAGCCAGATTTAGGATCAAATGAAGCTAAAACACAACCCTGGAACCCTAAGAAGATGTTGCTGCTTCGTACAAGCACAGCACAGACTCTCTACGAGCGCTATGGAGGCTTCAAAGTTATACTTCCCGATGATAAAGATGGTCCAATAGTCTTGAGAGTATCAAAGTAGAACTACAAAGGGATATAACTGAATCGTCATGTCTCCTGTTAGTCAACTCCTGACGGGGACCTCTCTTGCTGAGATTTCTGTCGATATGTAGGCACTTTGAGACTACATTTATGAGAATAAAGTCTTTCGTATTTAGTTCATGGTGGCATGGTGATTCCTAATGGCAATAAAGTGGTGGATTTCACGAACAGGGATAAAGTAAACACGTTGAATGAAGGGACATCCTATTTGAACCTACTTTCGCTCTATATACTCCACTAATGGTTGATTATAAATACTTGTATGAGACCTTCATCGATACGTTTTGAACACGCATTAAAAATTAAAGGGACCTAGTGCCTTCAAGTGACCAAAAAGGCCAACTGAATGGGTAAGTACATTTGCGACAGGGTTTATTTTCGCCTAGTTGATTATTATCGCAAGTACCCACTGTAGCTTTAGACACCAGTTCCCTTCATTCTCTGAGGGAAATCGTCTTCAATAAGTTTCGCGCCTTCTCGTCTCGAATAATAAAACGACATTTGAAGTCAACAGGTAGCCTAGAGTGAGATCATAGGTGAGAAAAGTGACGATATTTGTGAAAGAGCGAGTCGTACTGAATGA